ACACCACCAGCAGGAGATCAAGTCTGTTTTCTCCCTGATTGTACATCCCAAGCCCTGCCCCCAATATACAGTACTCCTGCAGAGGAAGGCTATTGGTAGGGATGTGTGAGGGACAATAACAGAATTTGGCCAGCTGATGAAAAAACATGAGAGGTATTTTACGTGTGAAGAAGGAAGAGTTGAAAGCTCTGACTCTCCCATGGCATTTTGTTTTAGGATCTGTTTTCTGGAATGGTAGCTGGGAAATTGCTGTGTAAGAGGGCCATTCCGTTCTCCTTTGACTGCAGATGCTGGAAAACTATAATCATCTATATTAGCAGTGCGGATTCTGAATGCAAATTTTGTTTCATCAAATACATTACATGCATTCAAATGAGATTTGAAAATAGAAATAGGAGTTTGGTTGCTGCTTTTTTGATAGTTTTGTCCTGGTCATAAAGAGCTGAATATCTAGTTTACTTTCCACAGGCCTGCCTAGTGTAGACAGAAGTTATCCTTGAAGCTTCCTGTGGGGCTAGGTTTCCATAAAGGAGCTTGACAGGCGGCCAAACCCTTATAAATAGCAAACTGGCATTGTACTAAATATATTTATTCTTTAAATATTGAGTAGAATGGATGGCACTTACACTAGGTGGTTGAACAAAACATAAGTCACTGGGCATTGGGGACCTGCAAACTTTCTTTTCTACTCCAGAGCAACATCCCCTTTTTTTGTGCTTCTACTTTCTTATCACTGTTAGTGTACTTTTTAATGTAAGTGGATAAGTATCAGACTAGACTCTGAGCTCCTTAAGGGAGGTAAGTAGTGTAAGGGCACAGGGGCCCTTAGGAGCTCAGAGTCTAGTCTGATAGTTATCTACTTACATGATATATATATATCATGTTTGATATTATATATATTATATCAAACATGATATATATATATCATGTAAGTGGATAACTATATATTATAGATATATATCATTTACATTATATATATATCAAACATTATATATATAATGTAAATAGTCTGATATATATATAATGTAAATAGTCTGATAAATATATATAATGTAAATAGTCTGATAAATATATATAATGTAACTAGTCTGATAGTTATCTATTTACATTATATATATATTTACATTATATATATCATGATATATATATCATGTTTGATATATATATATAATGTAAATATATATATATATAAAATGTAAATAAGTAACTATCAGACTAGACTCTGAGCTCCTTAAGTCTGATAGTTATCCACTTACATTATATATATATATCATGTTTGTATCCATGATGCTGTGCCAAACACATCACATAGCTCAACCCTTTTGCCTATTCAACCCTCAGTTGCCTATTCAACCCTCAGCTCAATTGAGTTATAATTAATTAATTGCAACTAATTTATTAATTAAATTACTGGGTGAATGAATATGTGAATTAACAAATATTATGCCCAGAATTCTTTGTTTACACCATTCTTCAAATTGTTTGCAGTTTTGCATTTGAGAGTAACTACTGTTTTCTATTTGTCATTTCTAAACATATATGGGTATAAGACTGCATATTTGCAGGAGTGGAAAAGCAGTTTTAGATAGATATTACAGTATCATGTAGTAGGATGTCATAATCTTCAGTTCAAATATACAAATTTGGTTGGGGATTGCAACAAGGTGTGGGTAAGTACCAGAAAGGAGATATATGCCTCGGGAATATTGATTCCTACCTTGTTTTCAGTTTTGGACTTTTACATTATTAACTATCTGCAGGATGGTAATAATTTTTTTGATTAAGTATTTAATGCAGCACTAATTTTTGCGGCCTAAATTCAGTTACATTCTTGGTTCCTATTATTGAGGAAGACTTAAATTCAGAGCTGAAGATTGAATAGGCAAAAGAGTTACAGATTCATGTGACTTATCTACTTCTTTGTTTATAACATATTTCTCCTTTACAGCATTATGAACCGAACACATAATAAGTGTTTGAACACTGCATGTCTCATTTTGTGGCTCAAGAAACTGAAGCAGTTAAGCTATGTATTCTGCAAAGAGAACAGAAATATTCCTTCTCTAAAACCATTTAATATTCCATGACAGTAATCTCACCATTTTTCAAATTGGAAATAGAAGGGCTTAACAACAGTTGTTTGAACAAACAATACAAATTCATCATATCCAACTTTTGAGGTCGTTCCTAGAGACAATAAACTTGCATAAATAGGTCATATCTTTATTTTTTTCCTTGCAAGTACAACCTATGTTTCACCAGTTCAAAATAGCTTAGATGTGAGGAAAGTCTCATTATTGATGATAGGAAACCATCTCCATCTCCACTTGTAACTACCAGTTGATAGAAATCCAGAAACTCTAATTTTCTTCTAACCAATTTAAGAATATCCCAGGGCGGGCCTAGCATGGTAGCTGACTCTTGTAATCCCAGCACTTTGGAAGGCCCAGGCGAGCAGATCACTTGAGGTCAGGAGTTCCAGACCAGCCTGGCCAACATGTTGAAACCTTGTCTCTACTATAAATACAAAAATTAGCCGGGAATGGTGGCAGGGACCTTGTAACACCAGCTACTTGAATGGTTGAGCCACAAGAATCTCTTGAACCTTGGAGCTGGAGGTTGCAGTGAGCCAAGGTAGCACCACCGCACTCCAGCCTGAGCAAGAGTGAGATTCAGTCTCAAAAAAAAAAAAAAAAAAAAAAAAAAAAGTCACATATATTCTCCAACACGCTGTTCTCTTACACATTTGTATATGCTATTCAAAATGAAAAATGATCTAGAAATAATTGAACTGAAATGAGCAGTTTAATATTATTTCCCTCTTCATCTATTACACATTTTAAAATGCATGCTTTAGTAATATTGACAAAGACAAATTTTGTGTTTCTTTAAAATAAGTGGATTTGCAGGTAAGCTTCTGGGGATGGACGGGGACAAAACAAGAGGTTAATCTTTATAACAACTTTTCTGCAAATAATTTGTCTTTGAATAAAAGCTCAAGGATCCTGAGCCTTTTCTTTTTTTCCCTTTTGGTGAAAAGATCATGGTTCTTCCCACAAATCAATGCCTGAGAAGTCTGCTTCAAGAGCATCCACACATGGCTGATGTGGAGATACAGCTGACATCCGGCTTGGCTACCCCCATCTCATCTCAATGCATATATTCTCCAGATTACTCATGTAGAAAGGGACTTTTTTTCTTGCACATATAATAATTTGCAACTTCAGTTTTGAATTCACGATAATACTAACTTTAAAAAATATTCTGTTAAGAGTAATACCTGTTTTAATATCTTTAATGTTGTGTTCACTCACTTTATGACTGTGTAGTTAGATGACTTTTTCAGTGTTAATAAATCTAGCTCAATGGAAGGTTTCACCCCTCTTTCCTATGTGTGAAAAAAAAGTGTCTTCTTATTGAGGCACCAAGTAATTCAGCTAAGTTTAAGAAAATATAATGGATACTAACAGTCTATGAGCTATACAACCTTACCTCAATAAATAAAATGCACATGAAAAGATTGAGTTCAGAAAAATTCTGGGGCTTAACAGGGAGATAGTATAAATATAATCTTATTTAAGTGGACCAGAATTTCTGTATTTCAACCCAAGTTTTCACAGAAGTATAGTTCTTTCTAATCACCACATGACTGGGTAGGTAAAATACCTCTCTAAAGAAAAAGGGAGACTTGCTTTTAATGAATAAATGAAGTTTTAAGTTAAAAGACTCCTTAATTAAGAATACTTAAATATGTTTTTAGTCATGAATTAATATTTATTTTATCATTTTATGTCAGATGTATTTAGATGTATGTTCCATTCCCACACATACATCTCTAAAACTCTGACATACCCACATTTTGTTTGTGAAAATGCTGAAATTCTGCATGTCAGTGGGCACAGAAGGTGGAGTTTTTGAGGTAGGTAGAATCTGAGTGATCATTTAACTGAATCTCATTATTTAAAAGCTTGATAATTTGAGGCTGACCAGGAGTATGATATGTCCCCAAAGTTACATAGCTAGTTTTCTAGCAGAACCTACATTTGAACTCAGTTTTATGACATTCCCATCACCTACAGTCTTCCTTATGCCCCACACTTTGTAACCCATAATTTGTTGTCTAAATTGCACAAAGAGAATATGTATGCACATAATATTGTCTGTTTCATTTTTTTCTATGAATGCAAGGTATAAGAATGAGAAAACATTAGAAAGAGAAGAAAAAGTGTGATTATTGGCCATAGGAAAAGGTCTAATGACCAAGTATTTGGGGAATTAACTGAATTTATTTGCAGAATTATCACAATCTTCTAACTTTTAAAAGCAATGAATAACTCATTGAGTCTGTTTCTGCATTTTTTCTCATGTTCAAATATTTTATATATTGTTTTAACATAATCTTTAGAATATAAAAATTAAATGGAAAATGATGACTTGCATCCCAATTTTTTTAAAAAGCTAATCGCATGCTTTTATAATATATATTGTTTAGGACACAATAGTAATTGAAAGATTACAAAACCTAGTCCTTAAATGTTTTCTGCTTCAAATTTATTTGTTATTGTTGTGTACAAAATAACCCATTCAACTGTTTCTTTGCCCTATGACTTTATTTTGATTTCTACTTTTTTTCCCTCTTTCTCATAGAATTTTTGCTTCACTATCTTTTGTTGTTAAAAAAAATCTAATCAAATATGTGTGAAGTGTTGTAAGTGATTAGCAGAGAAGGCAATTATCTGCTTATAAATAAACATTGCCATATTTTATGTGCAAAGAATATAGTCCACTGACTGTAGGATTTAGCCAATGCTAGGAAATCAAAAGATGTATATAATTCTCTCAGCTCAAATGGACCACAATAGCCTAATTTAATGCAATACTTGTGCTTAACTGATGATTACAGATAATGATGTTGAAAATTAAATTTTCAGTTATGTGTTTTCTACCTGCTAAAGATTCAGTATAAGTAAACAACTCAATTTATTACCACCAAGATGATTTGGCTGTGTTTCCACCCAAATCTCATCTTGAATTGTAGTTTCCATAAGTCCCATGTGTCATGTGAGGGACCCGCTGGGAGGTAATTGAATCATAGGGGCGATAACCTCCATGCTGTTCTCTCAATAGTGAGTTCTCTTGAGATCTGATGGCTTTATAAGGGTCTTTTCCCATTTTGCTTGGCATTTCTCCTTGTTGCTGCCTTGTGAAAAAGGATTTGTCTGCTTTCCCTTCTGCCATGATTGTACGTTTCCTGAGGCCAGCTCAGCCATACTGAACTTTGAGTCAATTAAACCTCTTTCTTTTATAAAGTACTCAGTTTCAGGCAGTTATTTTAGCAGCATGAGAACAGACTAATACACCCCCAAATAGGAATAGTTTATTATCTGATTTGGAAAATGATTATTTCCTTTTAAACATTGCAGGCTTTCTTGAGACCTCTATGTGCAAAGTTCTGAGAAATAAGTATATGATTTTATTCACCTTTGAAGATTTATTTCCAATCTACATATGGGAAGTATCTAATATCAGGCAATTGCCATTAAATTTTTAGAAATACTACCCACACAGTAAGATTTTCTGACCTTGCAGGCTAATAAAATGTTTTAATGTATCAGAATCAGCAGAGCATGTGGGCGAATAAGTCACTGAGCTAATTAGTCATCCCTCTCCCAAGAGCTGTGTATGACTTAGTGGAGTGTGTTTAGCATTACAAGTAAATCAACATTGTTGCGGCAGGGAAGCATCATTTCTTAGTCATTTCCATAACTCTGCCACCTTGACTTTTCAATAAAATCCTCCAAGTTTATGACTCTTATAGATTGTAAAAAGGGAATATAGCAGGAAGAAAAATGGATGCCCCATATAAGTGTATGGTAAGCATAGCACACACTAGCTTTGAAAATCCAAATGGATTCCTGAGTAATGGAAATAAAGGTGCAGTTCATGTGCATAAAGAACAATGGTGAGCAAGTCACATTTATTAGAAGTGACCCAAAGCTATTTTGCAGGCAGTTTTGCTTCTTTTCTACCCTTATCGTTTTAGGTTGTGGGCATAATCGAAGAGAAGAAAAAACAGCAAAGTTCCTATGTTGCCAGAAGCACTTCGGGTTAAATTTCAGGCAGACACTTATAGGTGATGAGTCAAGAGAACTCTCAAGGCTATCCTTGGGAATTTTTCTAAGGAGCAAAACATAATCAATAATAATGTCACTGATATGAAAACTGTCTATATAATTATATTTTGGTTTTTAAATGTTACTTATACATTTTATAATCTACTTCACAAACATTTCCACTTTGGACCCCTGAGCAGGTGAGGCTACTCAGAGGCAGACAAGGCAAAGCCTATTAGATTATCTTAATTTTCATTAGAAAATTAGATACAGAAAGGTAAAGTCAACTACTAAAATCATGTGTTGGAAACGGTCACAACCCAATATACCTAATAACACCAGGTCCTCAAGATTCATGGCTACCTGAAGAATTGAAAATGAAAAGGGGATCAAAATATTGCAATAATAAAGGGGTGCCCTTTCTTATTGGGGAACTGGGGGAAGATTGCAATAAGGAAGGAGTGCCCTTCATTATTGGGGAACTGGGGAAACAGTTTCCTATAATTAATACTTTCTGTCTCTCTGGCCTTTTCAAGTCTTTGTCACTTTATCTTTTAAGTAAGAAAATCTTTCTGATCCTAAAATTCATTTCCTTAGCTCGACTTTTTCTGCTATCTCATCTATTCTTCCTCTTCAATTTCAAACATCTCAAAAGAACAAACAACCTTCACTCTCTTGTCTTTGTAAACATTTGCAAACTGGCTTCTGCCTCTTACTACACTGAAATTGCTCTCTTGATAGTCACTGGTGTTTATTCTTAACTCCAATATTTTGCTCTTGTTAATCCCTTGTTGCTCCTTGAGCTTTCTACAACATTTAGAACTCTTGAAAACTTGCTTACTTAAACTTTTTCCCTGAACTGAAATGACACTGTAAACCCCCCAAAGAAATACCATTTTTCAGTCACCACTTCTGACTCTTCTTCTCCTAGATCTTTAAATGAGGCATTACGTTTCTTTCTTTGGCCCCTTTTCCCATTTCTCAATCTCACGTATTCCTCTGGCCTCAAATACCATCTTACTATCCTCTTCCTAGTTTCTTTCCTTAGCATCCTCTTTTCTGTTGAGCAACTGGCTTATATTTCCAACTGTCTGTTTGACATTTTTGTATAATCAGTTTAATAAAGCCAAAATGATCTTGTTTTTCAGGATCATCTCAATTATTATCCTACCACCCACATAATCACCTAAATCAAGGGAAAATAAAACAAAAATAAAACAAAAGCAAGAAAACATACTTATAGAATCCTTTTAAAGGATTTGATTCTATTTCTACCCTATCTTTTTAATCTATTTTTTGTTTATTCTATCTCTACTATTATCTCCCTATGTCAGATCTGTCACTTAGAGTACTGAGCTCCTCTGTGGCCTTAGTTTTTCAACTATAGAAAGAATTCGTATTAGTATAATGTCTTATCACTCTTAGCAGATTGAATAAACTGATGCCAATAGAACACATAGATCAGAGCATGGTCCTGAATAAATTGTTTAATAAATCGTATGGCTTTTGCTGCCTCTCCTTCTCCTTTTCCCTGTGCTCCTTCTGCCACTCCTAGTACTACCAATACCATTACCATTTCTGTTACTATCAGGACCAGCTTCATAATATATGGCACTCTTTGTAAAATGAAAATGGGGGGACCTTGTTCAACAGACTGAAAAATAATTGTGAATAAGTTTGCATTGCCTTTTATGTTATTAAACACATTTCTAAGGTCAATGTCTGTTCTATAGAGTGACTGAGAAGTGTCAAAAAAATCGCTAGATACTTTTTTAAAAATGCAAGACAGATTTCATTGGGACTACTGCAGTAGGGGAGAAAAATTTCAGTTTAAATTGGGCTCGATTCCACCAAAACAAATGATGAGAGACTTTTTAAATGCTGGTGTGTGCTAAAGGAAAACTATTAAAGGTGTTCAAGTGGGTTGGTCAATGTGACTAGACCATATTACTTTGTTAGGGTTTAACTTCCCAAAGGACCTGAGAGACAAAAGGTCTATCTTCCTGGATTATTGAATTTCAAAGAGATGATTACCAGGTCCTTGAGTAGATATGTGTAGGGAGTAGAAAATTTACATCTTAAAGGGACAGAAAAACAATTTATAATTATAAGTTTTCTAACGTAATTGCTCTAACAAAAGAGAGGACAGAGGCCTAAAGATAGGTGTCAGCTTGAACAAACAATAAGTTATTTTGGCAGCTATTTGTCAGAATTCTCTAGAGAAAGAGAAGAAAAGAACCAATAGAAAATGTGTTATGTAGAAATTGTAATATGTATATATATGTATACATGAGATGTATTATAAGAACTCAACTGTCAACTGACATGATTATGAATGCTAGAAAGTTACAAGATCTGCACATGTCAAGCTAAAGACCTGTGAGAATTGATGGTGTAACTTCCAAGCTGAATGTCAGAAGGCCTGAGACCCCAAAACAGTTGTTTCCGTCTGAAGGCAGAATAGGTCAATGTCATAGTTCAAGGTGGTCAGTCATGAGAATTCCCTCCTTACTCATGGGAGGGTCTGGTTTGTTTTTTTTTTGTTGTTGTTGTTATTTTCTATTCAGGTCTTCATCTGCTTGGATGAGTTCTAGTACTCACATTAGGAAGGGAAATCTGCTTTCTTCAGTCGAGTCTACTGATGTAAATGTTAATCTCATTCAAAACCACTCTCACAGACATATTCAGAATATTTGACCAAATATCTGGGCACCGTCCAGCCCAATCAAGTTGGAACATAAAATGAACTAGCAGTACTAAGCTTTCTCAGGTAGGCATTTAAAGAGGTGCTTGGATTATCCTAGGAACATGGTATTGGGACAATAGAAACCAGCTAAATCTTGGTGAACTCTCTTGGTGCATTGAGTTGGTGGAGTCATTTGTGCCAAGAGTTTTGTAGTTCTTAACATTCAGCATTTTTACTACATAATCTTCCTTAGAAGAGTTTCATAAGATTTAATTGGTAAATGTTTTAAGTCAGTTTAGAATTCTGAGAAAAATCTAAATGGAGACCCGTTATGATAAATATATTATAATAAAGAGAATATATTGATTCTTGTACTTGTGCACAATTGTGAGTTTTAAAGTTGAACTAATTTCTTTATCTTAAAGGGCTATATATTCAGTGCACATTGTTTATCACATTCAGATTACTAGCTTATGATATCTTTACTTACATGTAGCCATGCACGTGATATTAGCTACCTTGAAAAGTCAGGAGGTTGGAGGCAAGGGGAGGGATCACTTAGGACAAATACCTAATGTAGATAACAGGTTGATGGGTGCAACCATGGCATACGTATGCCTATGTAACAAACCTGCATGCTCTCCACATGTATCCTAGAACTTAAAGTACAATTAAAAAATGAGAATAATGAACCTAGCAATACAGGTTTGTAATTTCAGAAAATATGCTTATGTAAAATAAATAAAATTTTATGACACATGTAGTTTTCTCTTTAAAATCAGTGTTCTTCAATTTACTATTGAATAATTTACAATTGCATATCTAAATCTTGTTACATAATTATTATCACTAATAAACAATGAGTATAACAAATATTTAGTGAGTGCATACATAGCAGTAGGTACTATGGAAAACAAGTTTTTTCTTATTTCATACACATATCTTTTAACCCCATAATGCTTCTTAATTTGAAAGCCCCTTTCCAGGTATGAATGTTTCTTCCTCCTTTAAATAAAACCTCTGACCTTAGGAATTTTAACTTGTGCATCTAGCATTTATTTTTCCCTGGTAGATTTCCTAACATATGTATTATTAAGCCTCTTAAAATTCTTTTGCATGACAGGAAGCCATCTTCAGCCAAGTTCAGCCTCCAGAGAATGTCTTTCTCAGGGCTTTCTTTTATGACTTCTCTTCTACATATCCAAGCCTCTTAATATTTTAAACTATGTTCATTAAACCAGGGTCATTCATAATACATATGATGTTCCTTTTTACAGACCATGGACCCACCCACAGAGAGTTTTTGCTTTAGTAGGAGAATACTAGGAGTTGTCAAATAAATACATCAAACACATGAGGGCTTATAAGTATGATTAAAAGAAAGCAAGAGCATTGATAGGTAGGTAGGCTAGGGAAAGTGACAACTTTTAATAAATGAACAAGGAGCTTTTCACTCATAAGGTAACATTTCAGAAAAGAGCCATGAGAAATACATGAGTAGTCTTTAAGGAAATTAAGGAGAATATGATTCTAAGCACAGTTTATAGAAAGTGTGAGTGTCCTGAGGCGGAAGTGAACTGAGTCTATTCTAGGAATAGCAAGGAGGTCAGTGTTGCTGAAACAGAGTAAACCATCAAACAACGGTAAGAAAGAAGCTTCAAGAAATTATGGTGGGTCAGGTCTCATAGGGCTTTGCATACCATTGTAAGGATACTGTCTTTCACTTTTCCTTTAAAATCATTTAAGTGTTTTGTGAAGACTAGTGACATATTTGACCTACATTTTAGAAAAATTACCCCTGCTGCTGTGTTGAGAATAAATTAGAAGAGGATGAGTTGGGAAGTAGAACTGTGAATCAGATGCTATTGAAGTAATGGTGGTTTTGATAAGGGCAGTGATACGGGAGGTAATGAGAAGTGACTTGATTCTGGGTTTATTTTGAAGGCAGAGCTAACAAGGATGATCAGACATTTGAGGAATT